ATTTACGGAGTTATAAAATGTAATACAGTATATTTTGCTTAGCTGACCATCCTTCTTTGCACGGAAAACTTGTGCGCTTAACCGAAAAAAGCGAATTTTCTTTACTATTTCAATGAGGAAGGTATCCGAATCCCTAAGGGGGCAGGTATCTTAATGTGCACTTAGGCATAAGGCAAGGCAGCAAAGCTACATAAATATACTGTATACAACCATAACTAATTTTATTGAAAAATATTTTCATTTTTGGGGTGTTTTATAAACCTTCCAGCCAAAGTAAATCTTAGTATTTTTCCGAAATATTTTTGCAGAGTCTTACGGCTTAGTTCATAAAAAATAAAATCGATTTAAAGAGTTCTATAAAGTGAAATTTTCTTAAAAAATGTCTATTCATAAAGCAGTCAAAGTCTTCTTTATTTTTTATGAATTTGGGTGTTAGAATATAATATCGACACCTAGTGGAAGATCGACCTATCTCGGGCAGTCAGTTCGAAAACTCCCTATCTCAAAAAACATTTCAAGAACTCCCTATTTCAGAATTTCATTGAAAAACATCCTGTCTCAGAATTGGGTTCAAAAATGCCCTATCTCAAATGAAAATGTATTGCAAATGTGCTGTGACAGGTCGTTTTTGAATCGGCAGCTGAGTTAGGGCGTTCTACGATCCAATTCTGAAATATTTCGGGCGTTCTTGAAAAGTTTTCTGATATATTGTATAAGTATATTTCGAACTGGCTGCCGAGATTTGACCGATATTCCACTTAGGTCTTCCGATCTTCCACTCAGGTGTCCATATACTTTATAATTTCGTTGTAAATATAGTACCAATATAAGAAGAGTGATGCATGTTGTTTTTAAACTTTTTCGATATAATTTTGTTTTTGATATTAATTGTTATTACATGTTTTTTTTTTTTAAATTATGAATACGGACTTTTTTATTATTGCATCCATTTCATTTTGACTAAAATATTACCCACATTATTTACACTTCGCTCAAAAAAAAATATCTGTATATCACCAACAGTAAAACTGTCAATAAAGCGTCAACCCAAGTGCCTCACTCTTTGTCATTGTTCGACAGCCAGCTTTACAATTCTTTACTTGCAGAAATTATTTACCTTTCGAGTGTCGACTACTTGACTTGAACACCATATGGAACAACTATTCATTACAATAACAATAACAGTAACAACTACATATAAGTAAATGACTCATTGATTTGTTTACTATCGCTTACCACCGTTTAACTGCTATTGTTTACTATATTTGTTTAATTATTTACTTTATTGATTTGCTACACACGAGTGGTGCAACCATTGTTCATATTTTATCGTAGAAATATACTACAACATTTACAAAGCTTAAATTGGGAGGGTGAAGAAAAAGTTATATAATTACGGAATAGTTTTTAAAGTCAAAATTTATTTTATGCGAGCAAATAGAGTTACACACATACATACTTATTTCATATTTTTGTTTATAGTTTCTGAACCACCATGGCAACATATAAATACATTAATACATAGAGCAAAGGAAAATACCACGAGTGGGCATCTAAATCCAAATAAGAGCACACAACCATCATGTGCATCTTGCTCTACCATCACAGTTCCTGCTTAGTTTAAGAAACCTTAACTAAAGAAATAAAAAAAGGATAGGTAATTTCTACACTGAATGTGTTCATCGTTTCGTCTACAGGCCCAGGGTGGTTTGACTCGGTTTGACTGTGGTAGCAAGATATCATTGACAACACCAATACAATTCTAAACATCCGCCTGCCCCTGAGGTACAAGGGTAATAATGTCCAAAGTTTTTTGTGGAGTCTATCTGGAACATTAAGAAAGGGTCCTGCGTAATTCGAATTTAATAACGTTCTTAAGTAAATGCATAAAGCGAGCGCTAACTATTATCTATGTAAAGTAATTGTAAATTAATTTTTTTCTAAGCCAATCCACCATTGCAACGGAATGTAAACTATTCGGCAAGTATGAAAATGCATATTCATATCCAACCGCATGATATCAGCTGCATAAGTTTATACAATAGTGGTATCCACCAAAGCGAGCAAGTGGCCTGGAAGTCTGGCAAAATGGCACTAATGTATCGATTGGAAATCTGGAGACAGCTTTGAGTCTACCAGACATAATGTTAAACAAGTGACATACAAGAAGTTGCTGTAAAGTCATATCTCACAGTCCTATATGATTGCATAAAGCCATGGTGCAGAATATACTTAAATATTGTTGCGACGCATACACCCAGAAAAAGGTTTAGTTATAATAACCAAGATTTGGTTATAGTGATCAAGTGGCATAGTTGGATATGGCGAAATAAATATATGGTTCACGAAAGTCTGCAATTTACTTAAGATTTCTAGTTGGGACAAATGTATATTTGTTAATAATTACAAAACGACTACCTTGATTGGACAATATTGTTAGTTGAATAAAATCATTGTTGAGAAAATATAAACAATGCTTTGGTTGATACAAGTTTTCAATTAATTTTGTGAACTTGCTGTAGACTTGAATCAGCTAACCGTTTATTATTAGGAAAAAAGTTTCAGTTTGACACAAATAAAAATTTACTCGATGTTTGTTGTGTTTACTTTCTTCTTTTATTTGCATATATTAAGCATAAAAATACGTACATATTTACATAAGTTAGTTACTAAAGTAAATAATACATATGTATATGTTGGTAAGAATTTACTAAAAAACAACGATGAAACAGGAACAGTCGTGCGAAAACCCAGGTCAATATCTGCTGGAAGTATACTGCTTTGTTTTTTCCTTAGCTAAATAGACACTTTCAAATTATAATTCACATGAATTATATATCCACTGAAAAACCCCGGTTGGCATCAAACTTTATATTTTTAATTAAACTTTAAACTATGCGCGAACCGAAACAACTCGCGATGATAGCAAAACTGAAACTGAGAAAAACAAGTATGGGCATGTCATAGCACACATGGCGCAGCGATCGACATGCCATAGCTTACTGAGCGCTCTGGGACCACATGCGTGTTTGACCCTAATACGAAAGCGGTAGCGGAGCAATGATTTCCACGCACAATGCAATGGTCGGCATACTAGCGCATTCAAACGATTCAATAAGTGGGACTGTGTGCATTGCTCAGCTGGCGCTCTTCGTATGTGCTCAGAGAGCGCTCAGCATTCTTTAGGGGTGGCTCACAAGCATGAATATGTTCCACTCTCAAAACAAATCGTGGTTGCCTCAACTAAGATTTGGTAACTATGACTAAACCACGTGTTGAAAGAAAGCTTATCTGCATTAGCAGAGCTTAATAACATCCTTTTATGAACCATACGTTAAGTTGAATGGAATTTGTAGAAATATGCTTCAAAGAAATATTTATTAGTATTAACCAAACCCTTCAACTAAATTAACGATTTGTTACAACCTAGATGAATATTAGAAGCTTTAATATATTTAGTTATAATTACCAATCGATGGTAATAGTTTCCAACCCTTGGTAACAGTTCCCAAATATTGTCAAAATTCGGGAACTAAATATCTTTAGTTCTCGAAACTAATCCTTTTTCTCAGTGTAGTGTTCTGCTTTAGCACAAAAGAGACAAAATCAAATATTTCGATAACAAGAAGAGATAGCGATATAATTGTAACGGTATTTTAAAGTTTTTGAGGTTAAAAATTCAGAATAAATAGTTTCGTTACGTAGAAGAATCACTAAAGCCTTTAAAACGACCTTCAAACGTAGAAGGTTTTAAATTTGTTAATTTTTTTGTCCTGAAAACAGTCTGCAATGAGCTTTTCAAAGGTTTTAAACACGCATTTTTGACCTTTTTGCGTCAAGGAATCCAAACGGAAAACGTATATTATATCTTTTTTTTTTAATCCATTACAAGCTGTTCATAGGTCAAAAAGTCCAAAATTTTACTTTTGATTTTGAAAAAAATGTAATGCGGTTTTTGGTTTTTGAAACCATGGAAATAGATTGCTTGACACTAAGACCGCAAAAATATGTATTTAAAACTTTTTTAAAACTACATTGCAGGCTAGTTTCACAAACAAAGAAAAAATTCTTAATCCTTCTATATTTGTGAAGCTATCAACGCATGAATTATTTTGGGAAATACCTAGACTTCTGGAAAATTTCCTGAATATTGCAAATACCAACTAACTCAATCATAGAAATATTATGACATTTAATTTCTGGTTTACCAACTGTGTCATTTTTATTTATGAAAAATTTCCATAACAAAGTTTTTGCAGCGGAAAGTCTATGAATTGATTAAACTTATGAAAGGGTTGAAAGAAAAGAATTTTCAAAGGAAAGAAATTAAAATTTCCATACCAATTTTGGGGACAGGGTAAAGTGTACAAGAAAATCGATAAGATTGATGACATACCCTGCAGGAAATATTTAATTATTACTACGTTTGCGCTCATACGAAACAAAGACAAATAAATAAATGAAAATAGACAGCAGAGCAAACGAAGTATATTTTTAAAAAAAAATTTTTATCTTAAATTGCAATGCCATTAAAGAAAAAAAATTTTTATAGGTGTATAAATGCATTTCTTGTCTAAAAATGTTCGGTATTGACACTTTCGTTGAAGAAAGCAGTTTTTTGTAATTGCAAAATCTCTATGCTAAACTCGATTCGACTAAACAAATTTAAATTGGTTTATTTGAAGTTTTATCGGTCTTTAAAAAATACATACTAAGGGCCATTTTCTGAAGCAACAACCATTAACTTTAAAGCTCACTTTATATTTAATGGTTGGATTACAAATAAAGCTATGTCTAAAGTTAAGCATTTCTATTATCGGTTTTTGACTTATGCATGTTTCTTGGGTGTAAACCAATTTAAAACCGATAACAAAAAGCTTTACTTTACATACAATCATACATTTTAATGCAACCTTTAAATATAAAGTGAGCTTTAAAGTTGCAGGTTACTTGAGAAAACGGTCATAAATATTATAAATAAAAATTTGAATTCGACTTACTGTTCCACGATTGATAGACCGCCTCGCAGAGGGCCATCACAATGTGCGGACTCGTCAACAGCGGACTCTGCATGGGCGTTTGTGTGGCCGATGTGGTCGTATTTGGCGATTGTGATGTCGATGAGGCGGCGCTGCCGCTGCCCGCACTGCCGTGACCGCCACTCGATGCAGAGTCATCGGCTCCCGCCTCGGGCATATAAAAGACAACAGCCATAATTTTATTTTGTGATTTAATATATGTTTTTATTTTACTTTTTGCCTTTTGCGGCTCAGAGTTTTTTACTATTTGTTTGTTTTTGGCTTTGGCTGTCTTTTTAGAAATTGTTTTCGTTGCACTTTGAAGTTTTTTCGCGCTTTATCTTTTGTTGTGTCAAATGTTGTTGTTTTTTTTTGTGCTTGCTGTTATGCTGTTTGTGCGCGATGCGCACACACCTGCTGCACACACACACACACGTACTCACACGACGCTAAACGACGACGTTGCGCTGCGCAGCAATCAGAGTGGGTGGGTGGGTGTTGGAGATTAGCGCTGTTAAGGGTAGGCACGTATGATCTTGCACACGGGCAGGTTTGTGCGCGCAAAAGTGTCGTTATGGAAATATGTATGCGACTGTTGTTGTTTTGTTTTAGTTTTTCGGTAATGCGGGATTGTTTTTATGTACGTACCTTTCACCTTTTCAAATTCTTATGTAAAATTTTCATCAACTTTCGCGCTTCATGGCAAGTTGTTTGTTACTTTTGCGTGCAGTTGTGAAATAATGTCACGTTTTTAATTTTGAATTCAAAAAGTTGTTTCTTAGTAGCTGAAGAATGCAAATGGAAGAAAATATTGAATATACATAAAAAATTAAAAAATTTCGAAATTTTCGAAAATAAGGTTTTAGATAAAAATTTAGTTTTTTCGCAAACCTTTCAAAATATTTGGGAGTAACTATTTTGCAAATTTTAGATTGTTAGTAGTTTAGTTTTGTGCAAAAAAAAAACCTTCGATTTTATATTTTAGTGCGTTTTAGCGTTTTTGTAACTTTCGTTGCTTTATATATTTTTTTTTTAAATTTACATATGAAAAAATGAAGTCATAAAAATGTGATACAAATAAAATTTAGAATTTTTTACCTTCAACCACCACTCAGGTTTTAAAAATTTTATTTGACAATATAAGAAAAATATGAAAATTTTCAAAATTTTTTAAAATTCTGATTTTAAAGACTAATGGCCTTATTCATAAAAAATAAAGTAGGTTTAAAGAGCTTTATAAATTGACGTTTTCATACATTTTTCAATTTATAAACCTTTTGTAAAGCTACTTTATTTTTTATGAATAATGCCATAAAATTATATGTAGCTTTTGTAATTAAATTTAAAAAAAATTGCGGTATTTCTCAATAGATCCACATGAATATTAATTAACAATTTTGTGTTTAGAAAAAATTAAGTTGTGCAATTAAAATTTATTATGGCAATTAATATTTCACAAAAAATAAAAAAATACCCAAAACTAGGGCCAACATTTTAATTTACTTTGCATTAAGATTCTTTTTTTCAGTTTTGCTTAGAAAAAATTAAGTTATTCAATTAAAATTTATTTTGGCAATTAATATTTCGTAAAAAAATAAAAAAATTTTACCCAAAACTAGGGCGAACATTTTTATTTACTTAGGTTTAAGATTATTTTTTTAGTTTTCCACTTTTTGCCTTTTTAAATTTAAACAAATTGTAACAAAATTCTTCGAGTTTTGGATTTTTAAATTTTAAAGAATTTTATTAAAACAAGTTTTTGTATAGCGATGATAGTTTTTTCTATTGCTGCATAGTTTAAACATTCATATTATCAATATTGTTATTCTTTAATTAAAAAAATAATAATTTTTAAAATTAAGTTTTTTAACTTCAAGGATTTTAGACAACTTTTTTGACCAAAAATTTTATTTTTGTTTAAAAATTTTTTAATTCGAAATTTTTTTAACATAATTTTAACGAATTTTATAAAAACAAACTTTCGTAAAAAATAAAATTTAATTTTGGAATCAATGTGACTATAATTTTAAAAAACTTTCTCCATATTTATTTTTTTTTTATTCCGCTGAAAACAACAATGCGCAAACTCAAAAAGTTAACATAAAAAACTTAAAGTACTTTCCGCTTGTTTTTGATGTGCAAACTAACACTTTAGCGGGGTTTGTTTTTGTTGAAAGCAGTAATGTCATACAAGCATTTAATTTTTTTTTTTACTTTTACTAAATGAATTACCAACTGAGGACTCACAACACTTTTAACATTTGTTCCGAAATTTTTTCAAATCTAAACTCGAAAAATTTGTTTTTTTCTTACACTTACGTTTTGCTTTGTTTTGGTTACAATTTATTTTTTTCGAAAAATACAATTCGAAACAATTTTTCACCAATCTTCCTATTTATGCACTCGTATTTTTTTATATAATTAACTAGAAGCACTTAAAACGTCTTTAAATGGTTTTGTGTTTATTCTTTGTTGTTATTGTTGTGTTCTTAATTTTTTGGCACTGTTCAACTTTTACAAGTCCGCGAACTTTACGCATACAAAACACACCCATACACGCGCGCACGTACGTATGCACTTTATGGTTGCTTGTTTGTTCGTTGCGAAGTTGTTGTTGTTGTGTTGGCGCTTTGGCGTACAGCACAGTGTTCACAATAAAAGTGTTAACCACCAACCAACAAACACGTCTTACTCGCTTCGTTGTTCCCAATCAACTGTGCCTGCCGTTGCAGTCGGCGCGCGGTATAGGTTCTGCCACCTCCTCTTGAATTGTCGGTGGCTGCGACAGCGGCGACGGTGACGGTGACGGCAACAGCAGCAGCTCCGATGACTACTCACCGATACACGGACAACGAGGCAATGCAGAATCAACGTCAGCGTCAGTAGCCGTCACTCACACCGACGCACGCATAGTCAGAACGCTTAAAAACACCAGCTAGTAGTCAGTCAAAAGCAAGCAGGCAGGCAGGCAGCCAGTGAACCAGCTCGGCAACGTCAACGAAAACAACAAAAGCAATAAGAGCACCAATGAGCGAGCGCACGACAGGGCAGAGTCAGTGAAACAACAACAACTATTTGCAAGTGGCTAGAAGTGGAGACACCAGTGGCTGCAGCAAGAGTCAGAGCTACAGTCACCGCCACAGAACAGCAATAGCGCAATCATAATGCAGAGAGTATCAACGTCAACAATCAGCAGGGAGCTGAGCTCACAACAACAATGCATGTCGATTTGAATAAAAAAGTTAAAAAAAGGAAACACAAACAAACAAAAAACGAATATGAATAAAGAAGTAGAAGAAAATATGGAAAAAACGTAGAGCAGAAAAAAAAAATTTAAAATCAAAGAGTCAGTGGCAGAACTGCAGTTGCATGCAACGAGCATATGAAGTGGGAGCGCGAAGCAGATCCAGCAGCAGCGGCAGCAACAACGGCGACAATTAGAAACAAGAACAGCAGCTCAGCTCACTAAAGCGCACATATGTACAAATGTAAATGCATATGCATAATATGCATATGTATTTTTTCATTCGTATGTATATACATATGTATGTACATATCCAACTGAGATACATACACCTACGAACAGGTAGGCAGTTAGCGCGTAATCAATACGCATACAAACGCATGTAAAAAGAAAATATACATACCCTGCAGGAAATGTATCCTAACTATAAGCTAACTTTAAGTTGATTGGGAAGGAGCTAAAAGTCACTGATATCTGTATATTTTCTTTGACAAAAGCTAGCTATGTTTCTATGGCGATGGCCGCGAAATAGTAAGGGCGGTTTACCTCTGCATTAGTTGTAGTCAAGGGTGGTAACCTCTGCATTTGATGTAACTAACTTGTAACTAACTACTTTTGGACAAAAAATATCAATACGAAAAACTAAATATTTTTATTTACTTATTTATTTTATTACATTCATATTAGTTTACATATTCTGCTGTAGGTGGTCCCATATTCGAACTCCGTCAGACATAACTTCAAACTGATAATATTAAATTTCGATCTTCCTTTCATTTGTCCTCAATTCAAAAAAGTATTTGCGAAGTGCCTGATATTTAAATAGAAACGAGTTTAAAGAAAACAATCTGCTGCATTACTCCTGCATTACTTGTCAACTAGTTTCAATTAGGGTTTTTGTAGCTAACTATAAGTTATGCATTTTATAGAAATCCCGCAAAGAGGCTTACTACAAGTGGGTTATTTTTCATCAATTGATATCTTTTTTTTCTGTAGGGTATACATATGAATGCAAGTACACGTGTTTGGATACGTATGTATGTGTATGTGAGTAGGTGAGTCGATAGGCTGCAGCAGCTGAGCAAACTGCAACAACAAATAAAACTAAATTAATTCAGGTACTCACATACACAACCCTTACTTGTATATATGTATGTCTGTATGCATTAATGTTGACTTGCTGCGCCACCAGCTAGTAGAGGAACCACTCAACAGCTATCAAGCAAAAGACCTGCTAAATATCTATGGCATACAGGGATTACTGCGAAGAATCGCAGCTAATCCCAGTAGACAGAAGAGGATGCGAGACCTTGCGCTCTTACATTTTCATATGTATGTATGGCGCACTCTTTTAATTTAAATAAGGAGCTTACGCTCAGATGATCACAAAGATTCTGAGTTGAATAAAAAAGAGAAGGCGCAAAGGTTAAGGAAGCGGTGAGGTATTCTTATGAGAATTTTGCTAGAGCGTCTTATAATAGGTGAGAAGTTAAGAGAAACACCAGTTAAGTTGAGTTTATACATATATGTGTAGGTTATCTCAAAAGGTGTTTGAAAGAATGGTACTCTGTGGCGATCAGCTGGAAAGGGTGTAGCGATTGATATAAGAATTTCACAATAACTTTTTGGTGTTCAAAGGGAATACTTCTTAGCTGGGTAGACTTAAGAACTGTTAGGACCTCAAGCGACATAAAAAATCGCACAGCAGATTTTTCGACCCTCTATCAACATAATACGTGGCATGCATTAATTCAATTTACAGATACTATTTTGTAAAATTTTTTCTTCAAGAATGAACCAGCTCTGAAAAAATTCTGTTTCGGGGTCGTCGGGTTTTACTTTTCGGGGTATTTTTGAAAAAATTAAAATTTTTCGGGTTTTTCTTGAATTTTAGAGATGTTTCAGGAATTTTTTTCTTTCTGTAATTTTGGGAATCGTAGGGTTTCTCTTTTCAGGATTTTCGACGAGCTTATAGCAGTTTTTTACATTTTATCGTGTTTTAACCGCATTCTTC